AAAAATCTTCCTTTTTTTCTTGAGGTGAAAAAGAGTATAAGAGTTTATCGTGATAAGAATTTGTTGTATGTTTAACCTACCTCAAATTTGCTGTTGTAATGTCTTACTGAGTATTACAATTCAAATTTTCTGTTTGTAATTTGCTGTCTCAAGATCTTATTGTGTATTATGATTGTGGCTCCTTTCTGATTTTCTACCCAACTCCTGCCTTGGCTAGTGGCAGGCAGTGAAAAATAAGTGAATAAAAATAGACAAATCTGATTTCTGCGATGTTGTTTTTTTAATCACAAGTTCAACAAAGTGAAAACATTATTTCACGGTGCCTTTCAGTCAGCTGGGAATGAAGCCGCAAGCAGCGAGATACTCGCGACTATGTCCCAAGGCTGCCCATAACATATGCAGTGAGTTTCATTTCCTCCAAGGAAATATCATGCAAGACAGCATTAGCCATTCCCTGCAATGTTAGGTTGAGGGAAAAGGCCGTGGTTTCCAGTCAGGCATGCTTGCACTGATGATGCAAAGCCTTTGAATGTGGCCTCTAACAAAGAAAATCAAAATAGGCTATAACTACCATAGCACAATTTATATTTGGCAAGAAGAGGAGTGATAGTTGTGTTATCAGGTAACTGGAGGACCACTCATAACAACCAATGAACTATACTGCAGAGGTTTAAGATATTTAATAACACTGCTGGAAAGCCATTAAGGGCTCATCGAGACATACTGAAAATTTAGTGGAAAGTTAATGGAAAGTTTATCGTAAAATACCGGGCAAGCGCCCACTCAAAATTTCGAAATAATCGCGAAAAAGTGGGGGATGGGCGCTTGTCCGGTCATCAATTTTACATATCAATGTACTGTGCATATTTTCTCAGATCTTGCAAATTTGTATGGGCGCTTAGTGTGGTATGGGCAGATGCGCGGTATTCTATGGTAAGCAAAACTATGAGGACAGTAAGACGTGTCAAAAAGGCAGAAATATTTTTTTAATAAAGGAGTTGCAAAACAATCAAGGGACTATGTAAAAATCAGGTGATAGCCCAATAAGCTTTACTTCTTTTTTCAGTTCCCTGTTAACTCAACATAGCAACTAAACTTCATCAATAGTTTTGTTTGGAACAAGTAGTCTCATTTGACAACACCAAAACGGACTTGTAGCCTCAATTCTTTTTGCGTATTGTCTTTCTCAGGTTCCCCAATTATTATTTATTTTTCTCACTAATCAATTGTTTTAGAGACCACGTCAATAGCCACTTCTTTTCGATGCTGTTCACACGGGCAACATAAAAACACAAATAAGCACCCTACCAAAAACCTACCATGGAGCTCTACAAGCTAATAAATGATATTTGCATGCCCTCGGGCCTACACCAAGCAACTTCGCTAACACATCCAGAGCATGCAGGAATAAATATATCCGTAGCTAAATTATTATATTTTGCTACATTTCTGGAAACTCCTTCACTAGTAATTCTGATGACTTCAAGAGCAGTACCACAAATGATTACCCTTTTTTTTTTTCTTTTATCTTATGCAGTGCACCCCTCCTAAACCAAGTTTGCCAGCTGTTCAGGGGCACAATAAACATCAACTGATTGACTAATTGATCAATGGCGGGAGAGCGCCCAACCCACTTGTACTAAAAATTGGGTTAATCTAGACATAGGCGCTTGTCCGGTCAAATAGGGTGCTTAACCCCTTGCCTACTAAATTTTTTCGTCGAGAAACGTACAGCAAATTTATATCTTAAAGAGGCAATTTGCATTAGAATAAGACTAAGACATTTCCTCGATTTCCAGGTGTCATATCTTGCTCTAAATAGGGATTTCTGCTCAGAGTCCTACTGAAGTGCAGACGCTGAAGTTAATGAAATGCATGCGGGATGATTCACATTGTTTTCATCACTCCTGTAACTGCCCATCAAACTATCGTCCGATTCCTAAAAATCGGAAAGGATTCGTCGTCACATATGTCTGAGCATTAATCCCTCACAAAAAGAAGGTATTGTATCTCTTTGTCTGCTAAGGCGGACATCCGCACCAAAGCCACGCTGTTTTAGCGTAAACGCTCACAAGCGACTGCTTCTTTTTTTCTTGGCTAAATAAAGCGTTATTTTACTGTCAAGCGGCAAAACAAACGAGCAAACTACCCAAAGTAAGTGGAGCAACAAAGCTGGTTTAGCCATCTGCCAGAGAGCGCGCTAAACAAGCGCCGAAACCGAAACGAGAGTCACGCTCGTGGTCGGACTTTATGGTACGTAAGTTGTGGCACGAGCGACACTCATTATTAGTAGGCAAGGGGTTAACGTATAATCTGCAGAATTCCCAAGTTTGGAAAATGTTAACAGTGGGCGCTTGAACGAAGTGGCCGCTTCCACGGTACTTTACAGCAAAACATTTCGAGCTTATCTTTCAGACCTCGCTCCTTATAGAAGGGTGGCCTTTCCCTGCAAACCTGAAACAATCAAAACCTTCGCCTACGAATTCAAACGAAAGCAAGGCCCGTAAGAAGACCTTTTCTGCGTCAATAACCTAGAGGTATGTAAGCAACAGACACAAACAGGGATCGGTCTCACAAATACCGCTCCTAAAGGTGACGAATTGAATCCAGGAACCCAGGAAGCAGTAACCAACGGACGTAAAATGACAAAGGCCGTTGAAAGAGAGGAAGAGAGCATCGCGTCATTGACGTCCCAGCTACACATAAAGCATGCTGTAACAGATGTTTCGACGAAACAGCTGCCAAAGATTTTCCGGATGCCGGCCGAATGCAAACGTTTGCACGCCATTCAAGATAGCGCAATGCACGAGCCAGCGACAAACAGCTGCAAACAAGAGTTTCGATTTACACTCGAAAGAATAAACAAATAGGACGGAGCACAGAACACTACATGTTTCGAACATGTTTAAAATGAACCCTACCAACACGTTTGGTTTTTAACAAAGGGCTTCGGGTTGTTACAACCCCGTCTTTTGTAACCGCCACCAAACCAGCACCGCAGCATCTCCGGGCGAAATAGGAGATGAAAAAACCGCCTTCGGGCAATCGCCTATCTTTCATATTTGGAAAATGTATATTACTTAGCACATAGCCCATCTATTGCACTTTTCTTGGAACACGGCAAAGCGACGGGGCAAACAAACGAGTGCCAGGCAAACGTTCTCAATTTCCCCTTGGTTTTGGCCACACGATAAAGGGGCACAGCAAGAGAGATGTCCCCTGCATTTTTTCACGCGAATCAGATTTACCGCAAAATGATTGATAATTCGGAAATACTGTCCGACACTTAACAAGAAGAGTAAATGCCTTCTCTACCGCTCTTCATTGATCAGAAACCGCATTCCCAAGAAAATTGGTGGAGATTGACAAATCAACTTTGAAGAGGTGCATAAAAGGAAACACGTGATAAGTAGCCTCCACAGAGGAAAACGAGCCACAGAGAATTGACGAGTCATGGCTCTAAACCGGGGCATTTGCGGTCACGAATGGTTGAATGTCTCTATTAAATTTCCTAAAATTAACTGTCTGAAGAGTTGACAAGAGCTGGAGGGGAGGAAAAATGAAAATTACCCCTTCACCATCTTGAGGAAGGTTGGCAAGTAACCTGCTACCCAGTTCTTGAATGGGAACATTTGACAGAAATAGGGGAACATTACTTAAAGAAAGACTTCCAACCAAGCCAAGTTTGCGCAAGTAACGTTCCTCTCCACTTTCTCTTCGATGCAAGAGAGAGACAAAAAATGTTCAGACCTGCTGAAAAACATTTTGCAGGCTGACCTCTTATTCGATATTCCATGGTGCGCTACAGAATATTGTGTAGCGTGCTACGGGATATACTACTTTAATCTAGCTACAGGAAGTTGCAGCAAGTAGTAGAAGTTAATGCACGGTTATTACAACAGCTAACTCAGTCATTCCCTTCAAGTTCCCCTAAACTTTCGGCACCAGAAAGCCCAATAAAATTCAAACGATTCATGACCATTTACGAAAGTAACATCGATCCATATTACTGAACACAACTAAACGAAATACTTTCAGGGTGTATCCAAGCATGCTTCGCTATATTTACTACCACTATTTCACTAGACCAAACGGATCGCGAAAATGATTTTCCAATGGGCGAGCGCTCGCGCAGAAGAGAAGGCATTTTGGAAGAGCTACGCCACGGCTGCGAGCAGGCGCCTTTGCCTTTGATCACGCTTCCTACAAACGGGGGAAAAATAGAAAAAGGGCGTAAAGCTACAGGTGAGCTCTGCTCGCCAACTACCGGTAAAGTTGCGTAATTATCCCGAACGAGGAGGAAGCAAAACTCGTGCTGCGGCCAAGGAGAGAGATTTAAAGAGCCAGCCAACAACTCCAAGAGAAAAAAAAAAGCGCCGATATGATCTAAGAGACAAAGAAAAGCCGCACGACAAAACAGTCGCTCTTTGGGTGAAGATCAGCGCGTAGTAGCTGGACCCTCTCCGAGATCCAACCTTCTATCGAAGATAACTCGGTCGACCCAGTAACAAGCGACCAGATAACCCCGGCATCTGTCAAGAACTGTGCCGTAACGGAGAAGAGCGAGAACAATTAGTGCGACAGGGTCCAGGGACCCTTGCCTAAACCAATAATCCGATTTTATTTCGCACGGGGGACGTGCGTCAAGCTGAATTGACACACGGGCGGCTGCCTTCTTTTAAAGAACAAAAGCGCATGGCGAGGCACTTAGTGGGACGATTCGCCTTGAACCAGGCGATTGGGCAAGCGCCGTCGAAACACCAAGTCCATTTCCGGCGAAATAGTTTTCCTAGAGTGATTTGATGCCGGTTCGGACACGAAGGGGAGGTAGCGTTCTATGCGCAAAGCACGCCTACCGCGCCGACGGAAAAGGCTCGGAAAGTACGCACGCACGGGCCCTGGAAGGCTAGCGTTGCCGCGAACGCGGGAGGGGTCACGTAAATATCGTCCTCCGCCCAATTTAAATGCGAATCGAATCGTATAAAGCGACAAAAACTCACCCAGAACTTGGAGCCGCAGAAATCGTCGAGCGGCACCGCCATGCTCGAAAGCGTGCTGCCAGTGTTGCTGCTGTGCGCTCCCCAGTCGCAGAGAGTTGCGTCAGAAACGGCAGACTGTTCCGGCGAGTGAGTCACACTTTTTTTCTTCTTTGTTTTAGATAAGATATCAGGGACTCGGCGTAGCGCGGTAGATTTCAGAAAAATTCAGGAGCCTTTTCTAGTGGAGTTTTTGTTTCTTGCACTGTTACTGCTTTATTGTTGCCTTACTTCGTCAAGGTCGAAGCCTTGATTGTCATGGTAACGATGGTAACAATATGTTGCAATCTTCCATTTTGTGCGGTTTCGATTCGAAACAAGATTCGAAAAGTCGTCAAAATCGATTCGAAATCGCCAAAATCGTCGCATAGCTTTCTTTTTTTTTTTTTTTTCCGGTCGAAAACGGTTTTTTTTTTTTTCTTTTTTTGTATCTACATAATTTTGTTTGCTGGATTTTTCGCGTCAACGTGAAATATACAGCCCGTCAGATGAATTTAAAAATTAAAAATAAAAACTAGCCAATTCTGTAAATTTTTCAATAGTAAAAAAAAAAAAAAAAAAGAAAAAGATATCGTAGAGCTCCGCGGAGCTTGACGAGCCGGGAGGCCAATGAAACAGCGCTGAAACTAAAAATTGGATTTTTGCCGAGTCACGCCGTTCGCCCGTTCATGATCCAACCAAGCGCCGAGTGTGCCCTTGGCCGCGCTCCAAGAATTTTCCCCCCTTATTATCAAAAGAAAAACAAACGTATGAAAATTGATTCTAGCCTTGGTTAGGTTCTTAATACTGGCTACTTACTGTTGATGCAACAAGGTTTTTTTTGTTTGTTTTTTATGAGGTTGGAAAAGTTGTTTTGTTTCTCCGATTACTTATTTTTTTTTTTTTCCTTGCCTTTTATATGTATGTGCCAGCGAGCTTTGTGTTTTGCTGCACTCGAAACTTCGGGCTTGTGTCTGGCCTGTCCTTCCCCACGGTCCAGGTTTACATTTTTCGCAAATATTTTGTCGGGCCCAAAATTTCGTGATGTGGAGTAATGTGTGTGCTCTACCACGCTGCGACATATTCGCGTGATCAAATTCTCGCGACATTACTGAAGTCGCCAAAATTCGCGAAATTTAGGGCAGGCTTGCTAGAGCAGCGTCTCAGCTGAGATTGGGTGAGAGAAAGCACTGCAAAGGCTGTTGCGCGCAAGCGTCTTTTGAGACGCGGTGTGAGAACCGCTCAGCACGTGCGCTGGCTTTGGCAATACTTTCTTTGCCCCAGTCTCATCTGAGACGCCGTTTCTAGCAAGCCGGCCCACGTCCTAGCTAAAGTTACTGTCGTTTACAGTACTTACCCAGCATACTCATTTGGACTTCGCTGTATAGTTGGTTCCGTTTCTTTTTTTTTTTTTTTTTCCTTTCTTTTTTTACAATTTCGGTGGTATGGAAGTTGTCGAGGTAATGTGTACACCAATTAGTGTTGGGAAGTGCGTTGCACTCCAAGTACTACTGCAAGTGGGTTTAGGAAACTTGTACTGTACTTTTAACTACATTCTCTGAGCATGTTGTACTCAGCGTTTAAGTGCTTTAAGTAAAGTACGAAGTAAATAAGGGGTGATATACTTCAAGTAAAGTAGTAAGTACACTGCATGCAATCTACTTGAAGTAAAGTACCATAAATAGAATGTACTTTCAAATTAAAGTACAAATACTTTTTAACACGATCTTTCATGGTGCCCTTTCATTCCCCCTATACAGTGATTTAGTAACTGGTAGCTAGGCATTGCCGCACGGGTAACCAGGAGGTGCATGCCCTATTTTCGGAATTGGCGGCGAATATTGGATAAAGCCGAGTGACCACAGACAGTTATTACGAGATACGGCGCCAAATTCAGAAGTCTTCTGAATTTGGCGCCGATAGCACTGGCTTGATTCACCCTGACGGCGGCCCCGTAGCTTCAACGAGCAATCCTCTAAAAAAGGGGTGTCCTCTCCTTGTAAATATTCATAATGTGACACCTGACACTTCTGTGCGGAAAAAAAATTAGGGAACTTTCAGGTTGAAGGAAAAGACAACAAAGGAGAATGTCTGAAAACACTGAGACGTTCGTCTCTGTTGTCTTTCTCTACGACTGGAAAGTTTCTTCATCTTTCCGCACCACAGTCTCAGGTACTACATAATGATTAATTGTCCTTTCCTAATATTTTTTACCTCCTCGCCTACGCTGACCGAGCGAGAAGTAGCGAGAGTTCTGAAAACAACGGGAAAGCCGCCCCCAGAACAAACGAAGTGATATGCATCGTCTGCTCGTGTTTCTGGTGAGAATAGAATATCCCTCCCAGTATGTCTTCAGAGTTGACGAAGAATCATTTTCTGATAGAAATTTAATAAGACAAAATTCGGGGAATGTACCTTAAAGTCGGGAGTTGTGCTTTCTTCAAGTACCAGAGGAAAAAAAGATACTTTAAGTAAAGTACAAATACATACTCAGAGAATGCACTTCAAGTGAAGTACGAGTTTTCTAAACTTACATAAAGAAGTAGTTTAAGTAGAATGTCCTTAAAGTACCTATAACACTGCTTGTATTTTATTTCAAGTATTTTTTGGGGGTACTTATTGAGGAAAGTACAAGTCCTTGGGACTTCAAAGTACATTCCCCAAATTTGGGCTTGTTGAAGAAATACCGGGAGGGATGTTTTACTCTCACCAGAAACGCAAGCAGACGACGCACATTTTCTGTTTGTTCTGAAGGCGGCTTTCCCGCAGCTTTGCGAACTTCCTCTTGTTCTCGCTCGATCACCGCAAGCGAGGGGGTTAAAGATATCAGGAAAGAATTAATCATAATGTAACACCTAAAACTGTGGTGGAAAAAAAAATTTAAAAACAAATTTCAAGTAAAAAAAAAAAAAAAAAAAAAAAAAAAGACCGGGGAGGAGAGCGTTTTACTGTTTTTAAACGTTCTCCTCTGTTGTCTTTTCCTTGGAGTAAAAGTTTCCATAATTTTTCCGCACCACAGCCTCAGGTGTCAAATTATGTCTAACTATCACAAGCTCGCCTGCACTAAGGAGAGGACACAGTACTCTACGAGAAGATTGTTTGTGGAAGCTGCACGGCTGACGTCGTGCTTTCTCCTCGAATATTTACCCCCCTTGGGTGCAACGAGCCAGTGCAAGCGGTGCCAAATTCAGTAGTCGCTACGCGAACTTTTGGCTCCAACTTTGTGTTTGACGAGTTTAGGGCCCCAGGAGGCTCTGAACTCGTCAAACACAAAGTTGTGGCCGAAGTTGACGGAGCGCACCGATTGGACTATCACGACGATGACTTCGCGTTTTTGGCGGCGACGTCCAATAATAATAATATTAATAATAATCTTTATTTGCACAAGCAGGCTCCGCGAACTTTCGGCTCCAAGACAAGTTTAGGGCCCCAGATGTAGGCACTGCGGGAGAGCGGAAAGCAGATTCGTCTGGGCCCGCATCGCACCGGTGGAGTGCGGTTCGTGGTACGCGGAAGGCTAGAAGGGAGAGGGGAGCTTCTTTCTCTTCCCGCCAACCTTTCGTGTACTAAAGTGGAAAGAGTTTACTGCAGTGGACGGGTGCGGTGTGCCCCAGACGAATAGGCCATAAGCATCTGCGCATGAACAGTGCCGACAGCAGCGCCACACGGTGCCCTGACGTCAGAGGTGATTTGGTGTATTGGCGATCTTCATTGTGTTTTCGTACTTGCTCGGCTTCGTCTTTAGACTGCCAGGCGCTGTGAGTACCTGATTCGCTCGAGAAGACCGACGGGCGAACGTGCTGCCGCCACAGCCTTCTGTTCGAGCCGCCGCGCCGTCGATTTCGCTGGAGGCGCGCCTAAAGCCTGCCATCCGGCCTGACATCATCGCCGTGTGACTCTGACTGAGCTTGACTGTACCAACGGAAACACTTTCTAAACCTACACTAATCTTGCCTGACCGGGACTTGAGACGTCAACGGACGCGGTGATACCGGCGTCGATCTCCGAGAGTCAATTGCGGCTGACGGAGAAATTGGCGCAATCGCCGGAATTGAGATAAAACAGCTTCGCTCGCGGCTGACCCCCGCGGGGCGCGACCCTTTTATATCATCTGCGGGAATTCGGTTCACAGAAGCTTATAAAGTTCATCACACTTATTAAAGTCCATTCGCACCAGTGGCGTAGCCGGGGGGTATTATGAGGCTTCAGTCTGCTTCACACATCCCCCCCCCCCCCCCCCCTTCCCCTGAAAAAAGAAAAAAACTTTCTGGCTACGCCACTGCATCGTACTTTCTTCTACAAGTAGCGACAAAAGTCCAGCACAAATGAGGAAGTTTATTCTGCAGGAATAAAATGGCGTCTTTCAGACATTCTGCACGCTGCTGCGCGCCTGTCACGCTTTCGGCACAAGAATTGTCGGTAGTTGTAAGAAGCACGTCTGAAGAGCGTCTTTCATCTGGAAAATTTAATCGTAGAGAGACTCCCCCCCCCCCCTCTCTAAGCGCCTTTACCCCACCCCGATCGCGATGGGATGATGTCTATCGAGATGTTGCGGTGTATCAAAAAGAGCATCTCCATCATTTTTTGGTTTTGTTTTTACTTTGTCAGATAACGTCTACTTCGCCTTATTATTTTTTTTTCTCCTTGTTTTATTTAAGGACGTCTTCAAGGGTTCCTCCGATAGGTCTCGCCGTCCTTTGAACCCGACCTCGCTGATACTTTTTTTTTGTCCTTTCTCTCGCTCGGATTGCTTACAAAAGAAAGAGATTACGGCGTTTCTTTGTTACCAGAAGGTCGCGTATTCCCGTGGATGCTTGGGACCAAACTCCTTATGTCCACTCTGTTCGTCGGTTCTTCCAGCGCAGTATGTCTTAGAGGGACGGTGCAACGAGTATTGTCCTTTCAGTTAATACCACTTAGAATCAGTCCTTGAGGATGATAACCTACGAAACACGCGTTGTTTGTCTATCCGCGCAATATGACAGTCGCAGAAAAAAGTGAAAGCCGTTTACAACTCCCTGTAACACCGAATTAGAGCGCAGCTCTTGAGGAGGAGGAGGGAAGGGTACTGGGG